TTAAATCTGTTAACTGACGTGTCTCATCACAGGTCGGAAGAAATTCTGTGGTGAAGCAGCTGATGGGATTTTTGTCCGACTGGATTGGTATTGATTCTGAAGACAGACTGGAAATGGCACTAATTACTGTTGAAAGTGTGTGTTAATTTTTTGGTAATGGCCTGCTTTCATGATAGATTTTGTGTGAACCAAGCTGTAGAAAACATAAGCCAGGCTTTTCAAAATCTCGAGTCTCACGAACATGAAAGTAGTCAAATGTCATGCATGCAAGTTTTGTATTGGGAATGATCTTTCTTTAATTCTTCTCCTTTCTATATCTCCCTCCTGTCTCTATCCAATTTGTTTCTCTATCCTTGATAATCTCTGTCAGTGGAGAAATCAGGAGAAATACATATCGAGCTTGGCTGCATTACATCCAATAAACACAGGCAGACATATGTGAAATGATGTGAAAGGGTTCTCTTGTAGTGATAACCCATATAAATGTGTCACTGAATTTTTAGCTTTTGTTTAGTTTAGCATAAAGACTGGGAGCAAGGGGAAACAGCTAGCTTGGCTTGGTTCAAAAGTACGCTTACCACCATCTTTAAAATTCACTAATTACTATTCTGTATCTCCTAAAACAAAAAAGGCAAGACTACTAAAATGTAGTTTTAGGGGAATTTCTTTAGCTATTTCTTAATAGTAATTCAAATAGTTTTCCCATCTACCCAGCACAGTACAAGAATCCAGGAAGTCACAAATGGTTTGTGAATGGATCAAACAAACATACTGTACATACGAAGATGCAACGTTGAGACTGAAGTTCACCCCATTTGGTGACGGTTGCTCAAAATTGGTTGGGAATTTGGGAGTAGCAGCAAAAAACAGATTGGTCAGATTTCTGCGTTGCTTCCAAGATAACAAAAAAAAAATAAAAAAATGAATGCACCTTTGAAGTGCCTGAAAACTTGGTTTTAAATCTTAAAGTGGCTATAATTTATATTTTTATAATAACAAAGGAGGTTGCTCGTAGTGATGAAGTTACGGATAATTTCAATGTTTTGGTTCACTCAAGGCTCTCATAGCATTGTTTTTTTCAGCAAAAAAGCTTTAAAGGTTCAGTGTGTAATATTTCTGAGGATCTATTGACAGAAATGCAATCTAATATCCATAACTATGTTTTCAGTGGTGTATAAAGACCTTACATAATGAACCGTTACATTTGTATTACCTTAGAATGAGCCATTTTTATCTACAGAACCGCGGGCACCCCCTTCTATGGGGGTCGCGGTATTTTGTCGTCATGTTTCTACCATAGCCCACAGGGAACAAACAGCGCTACAGAGGGTGTTTCGTCATCACAGCGTTCTTCTTCTGCTTGTATAATTCCGGCAGTGTAGATGCCCCTCACTACATTAATGTGGGACAGATGTTTTTAAAGCGGTGCTGAAGTTGTCTGTTTTCTGCTGGACAGGTAATTAACTTAAGTTTGTCAGACTTTAGTGATGCAAATGAAAGCTGTTGTTTGACAGCTTTGGCTTGAAGCTGGCTATAATCACAGAGAGCCGTGAGGTGTTTCCCCTGTCAGTGGTGTGAAAAAACATGGTGTAAAATATGTAGTTGCATTAATTTCATGTTGCCTACTTATTCTCCAGCCTGTGGGTTGGCTTTGCGGTTATGTTAGCGAGACAATCAGCTGATCAGTAACGTTAATTGGCAATAAAACTGGAACGTTAGCTTAGAGCATGGAAGCATCAGCTAGCTAAACTTTTACTGCCCTGGTAGAAAAAAGCATTGGTTTATTCTCCAGCGCTGGTTTTGGCTTGTGGTGTAAAATATGTAGGCTACTTGGATTAAGTTCATGTAGTTAATCTCTCTCTCCAGAGCTCTGTTTTGGTTTTGTTACCTTTATGGGACAATCAGCTGAACACTAACCGGCAATAAAACAACAAAGCTCAGATCAGCCAGCTAAACTTTTACTGCGCTGGTAGAAAAAATATGTAGTTGGATTGTAATTTCATGTAGTTCTTCTCCAGCGTTCTGTTAAGGCTTTTGTTTTAAAAAAAACAACAGGTTTTACTGAATAATTAAGTAAATATAATTTCTTAATATATCTATCTAAAGAAACCTGATTTCTTGACTGGCAACTCTCTGCTATCTCTTAGAGGACATCTTTTGTCCTGTGTCAGGCACCGTAGCCATACTGCTCACTTGGATAGGGAAGGGGGGTGGGTGCAATTCACAAACCTCACCACTAGATGTCACTAAAACGTAAACACTGAACCTTTAAAAAACCAATTGTGTGCTACCTCATAGGCAATATACAGACACATCGCAGCTTAAGAGGGGTTGGTGGAGACCAAAAAGAAAGTGAATATTAGACTTACATTCATCACAGAAACATGACTTTAAATGATAATATTGATCCATAACTGCTGGGTGTGTAGTAACTGTTAACTAACAAGTTCACCATATCAAATTAAAAAGTGCTTTTGTGGGAAATGTACAGAGCTGTACCAAATGTCTTTTTATTTTTATGTTTTTTTTTTTTACATTTGATGCTTCTATTGAGGTCACCAAAATCCTCAATTTGGATAAAATAATTCATCATATTAAATTAGTTAGTCTTTTTTGTTTAGTACTTATTTTCTGATTGTTTCACGGCCGTTACTTTCTAAAGCACTAATAAAGAAAGAAATGTGGGGCTGCAGTCCACTTTCATATTTTACGAGGGACGCTATTTTCCCACCCTGTTGTTCAAAACATGTTTTTGCTGCCCTAAGTTGCAAACTTGGCATAAGCTACTGATGACAAACACAACAAACCATGAATTTAAAATGTATATGAAATGTATTTATTTCATTATAAAGGTACCTACATCACAGCAATAATCTAATTTACTGAATATAAAGTTTCTCACCACCTCATAATGATATTGAAAAATGAGGACAAAGAAGCAGCAAGGCAGTACACTCACTATGTCTGCATGTACATCACAGCATAATCAAATTTGCTGAGTGTAATGTGATCCTGCCTGAACAGCATCTGGGACCTCCCAGATTGGGACGGGCAAGTGTTTTAATGCTTTTTGATGTCTCAATATTTTGGCATGTGATTACTGTAAGCCCCACAGCTAAAGCAAGTGGGAGTTTGTGCTGTGAAATGGTCAAATGAGTCTTGCTGAGTTAGGGGGTGTGCGTGTAGGTGTGGCGCTGTCCACAGTATTGAAACGGAGTGGAGGAGATTGATAGGTAGCAAGACAGACAGAAGTGTCAGACTCATGGTTTATCAGCCTGCTTGCTTTTCATGGTTATAAATAGAACTTTCGGCCCTAATTATTTTTTCAGCAAACCACAGAGAGAAGCAAAGACAGGAAAACTGAAGGGACAGTCAATGAGAGACTGACAGCGCTGCAAACCATGCTGATTTTATGTGATTATTGTTCAGCTTATGCTCTGATTAATTCATGTAATAAATAATGTTTTGTTTCTGGTGACTTTCCAGAAGTTGGGGAAACAACAGACATCCATTTTATTAACGGACACACTGTGACCTACACTGTATATTTAGGCTACTGCCAGACTGACAACAAATTCGCTCGCTTTAACCGTCACTTTCTGCCACTCGCGCTCTCTCATTTGCTTACCCATTCATTCGCTACGAACACACACTGCACTCCTTAAAAGACCTGACATTAAATCTCTCTTATAACAGCAGCTGTCACTAAACTTAGATGTCCTTTGATGAATGAGGAGAGGAAGCTAGCAAAGCGTGTGTTAAAAATCAGTAGTTCCACATTGACATTTATAATTGAATGAAATTTTAGTAGCAGCTCTCATAATTCAGCAGCAGTGATAAATATAGGGGAACCATGTCTCTGTAATGTGGATATCAACATTACCTTATCAACTAACATTCATATAATTGATTTTTAAAATCTGAGAATCAAAAAAATGAATAAATCCAGCTTTAATAGTAGAGCATATTTACAGTATAAACCTTGTTAGTGAACTATGAGGGCAAGAAACAACAACAACAACAAAAAACATCCAAAAACAAAATAATCGTTCAATAATCGTAATCGAGGTAAAATGTTCAATTAATTGTGATTTTGATTGTAAGTGAATTCGTTCAGCCCTACTTCAGGCACTGTGTGCGTTGTGTGACGTTTTCTCTCCCCCTGACCGACGGAACAGTAGCCTCTCTGTGCGAAACATTGTTACCCATTTTAGTCATTTTGAGTCACGACCCTAAATTCTGGAAAGACTGCTCCGTAACATTAAACATAAGTAAATAAGCAACAAACAAATGTTGGAAAAAAGCAGATATTAGGTATTATTTAAGAGTTTAACACTCAAAAATTGATCTGCTTCTGACTGCGAGGAAGTGGTTTGATCACATTTGACAGTGGCCTGCTGACAGTGCTTTTGTTTTTTTTTGTTTTTTACCTTTCTGACTTCAAAGCTTTTCACATTTGTCTAACTTCTTCTTCTTCTTAAATGACTGTAGGGTCAGGAACACCCTCACCCTGTTTGGTCACAGTTTCCTACTCTACAAAACACTTTTTGACGAGCAGAGAAATAAAAAAACAAAAAAGGCTTGTGAAAGCAACCATCTACCTCTGCTGATAGACTGATAGAGTTCAATTCAAGCCTGCTCTCAGTCCGTCTAACAGGTCAACGACAGGTTAATAGAGGTTATTCCTACGCTCCATAACTGTGTGTGTGTATGTGTGTTTGGGTATGTGAGCCCTTATTTTTTCTTGTGCAGCTTGGAGGCTGAATATAACCTTAGCTTGCAGCATCTACTGAAGCTGTGTACTCTGCTGTAGCTGAGAAAATCCTCCTTCATTCCTCTAATTAACTCTGCTCTCTCTCTGCTTCTCTTTACTCCCCCCGCGATGTTCTTTCTTCTCACTCTGTTTTCCTGTTTTCCTTGTTGTTTCTGTCTATCTTCATTTTTCTTCCTCCCTTGTCTCTGTCTCTCCGTCTAACCCTCTGAAATTCTCTGTCTTCCAGCAGAAGTCCTCTGAAGCCGTTCCCCCCTCCACCTCGCCGTCCTCACTGGCTGACAAGAGCAGACAGGAGGTAAAGATCTTGTCTATACTCTATGGTGTTGGGTTGTTTTGCCGTGGCCGTGTTCTGTTGCCATGTTCTTCTAGATATGTTGTGGTGTTGTCACAGTTTTGTTGGGTAGAGTGAAAGATCGGAACAGTCCATTAGTCAGTGAAATTGCAGATTGTTAGCCTTATAGATTTTCTCCCCTCAAAGTCCTATTGGAAACACTAAATGGGATGATGCCTGTCTTTAATTTTAGTCTCATAGATTATTTAACCGTATAAAACACTTGCTGTCACTGGGCTGGAGTTAGAGTCCTTGTATGAAAGCTTCAGGCAGCCACGTAAAAAGGGTCATAGTTACATTTGCTAAACTCAAATGAAACACTAAATATTTTGTCGCAAACATTGCAAAATTAATGCTTTGTTCATTATGTTGCTGGTCTGACAACACTTTATCAAATCCAGCATCAAATCATCTTATTAAATGCAAAGCCTTTCAAATCCCTTATTGAATCTAATTAGCTTTAGCTTTTTACATATGCACGCTAATAAAGTTGTAAATGACTAAAACTCAAAGATCTGTAATCAGCTTTCTATGGATGAGAAGGCAGAAACACTGCACTTCTAAGTGGCAGCCTGATTAATGTTCACAAACGCTACACCCTGAAAATGAGATGTGGATGAAATGCTGTTTAAATGTATTGTCACAAATTGAAATAACAGATGTAGCTTACTGACTTTTAATACTGGAGGCCCTGAAGCAGAGCTATTTAGATGATAAGCCTAAAATATTGATACACGAAATAATCAACTATAATTTCTCTGTTGGTTGTGCTGAACTACGAAAACTTGTTTCTTTGCCCTCACAGACAGTCTTTGGTTAGGTACAGTTAGGGCAAAAGTAGTGGGACTACTTTTAAACATCCCATTCTAAATTCATAGGCATTAATATGGAGTTGGTACCCCTTTGCAGCTATAACAGGAAGGCTCTTCTAGGAAGGCTTTCTACTAGGGTTGGGCGATGTCCACAAAATTTCCATCGGATGATGTCTACAATGACACATCGGGATGGACGATGTAATCGGATGCGTGCGGGGTTGAAGCAGTCATTTTATGTGCATGTGTTCTCGCATAGACTTCACTCGGTAAAAAAAATTGGTAGTGGCAGCAGTGAACACACAGGGTTTCAGTTGTTTGATAGGCTACGTCATTAATAAGCCGACATGCGGCTCACCTGCTGCCGTGATAACGGATCGCATGCGGGTGGAAATATACGGAAAAAGACGAGTTCTCAGTCTTTTAGGCGACTTTATAAAACATACAGCTGATGGAGAAAATGGAGCAGAGGTGGGGAGAGTAAGCCGGGGTGTTTACCTGAGGTGTAGGTGAGTGTGGTGAGAAGAGTATTTCAAGGCAGGTGCAAAGCATACTTAAAAGCATAATAACAATGTTTGTGGTCATTAAAACCTGGTTTTACAGGGTGGTATAATTTGAAAATTTTAGATTTTTTTGCTGTCATCGTCTGTCGGCCCAACCCTTCTTTCTACAAGATTCTAGAGTTTGTCTGTGGGAATTTTGCCCATTCATCCAGAAGAGCATTTGTGAGGTCAGAAACTGATGTGGGACACGAGGGCCTGGCTTGCAATCTCCGTTCTAGTTCATCCCTAAGGTGTTAGATATGGTTGAGGTCAGAGCTCTGAGCGGGCTAGTCAAGTTCTTCCGCACCAAAATGGGACGACTATTTCTTTATGTCAAAAGTGATGCTTAGTGACTGCTGACAATGAGAAGCCTGCCACCTAAATGTTTTCAACATTACTTCTTGCTTAAAAAAAAAAAGACTGAAGACAGATGAAAGGTTTAAGATAAATTAGCATTGGAGCTTAACAAATCCCAGTATTTTGCCAACTGTGATAATATAATAATATATATATTATATCAGAACATAACACTATTCACAATACAACCTAAAAGTAAATTGGCAGTCAACTGATTTTTTAAAAATTAATTTCTTTTAAATCTTGCTGCACTTTAATCCTGGAATGATTTTGAGTTGTTTTTGTGTTTTTGGATTATTCTCTTTTGCTTCTCTTGTTGTTACCTGGATCAGTCACGGTCAAATTATTAATCTGCCATGGTTGACTCTGCCCTTGGCTACATTCCCTGCACATAGATGAACTAACAGCAGCAAGAGTAGGTATTTATTAAGCGTGTTCAGACTGGAGCTGTGTCTGACGACTCCCTTGTTAACACATTTAATATTGCCTATATAGTAGACACTCAACAGTTTACTCCGTAGTGAGCAGTAAATTGAGATTTTGGACGCTTATGAGTTAGGGTTGGTCCATTGAGCCCTCTACCATCGTAAAATTGTGATTTTAAAGCTACCAGACAGCACAAAAATTGCTGATAGATGCTGACTGATTCACTGAAGGAAAAACAGCTAATTTAATCATACTATTTAGCGCTGTTGTTTAGAAGTGCATTGCCAGTCTCTACCAACCATAATCCTGCGCAGGGGGTCAGTGCTCCTTTGAGTCACGCTGGCCATACAGACATGAACTGATTAAATAACCAAATTTAGAAACACAGCTAATGATATGTGGAGGAGGATCCCAGCTGTAATTTGCTGTGTTTCATGAGAGATGATCAGTTGGGAGTATAATAGCCTGCTAATGCTGCTGGAGCAAATTGGCCAATGCTAGCCTCATTAGCTCATAGTTAATAGAGTCAGAGACCTGGTGTCTGTTAGAGCCTCAAAGATAATAAACTTGCTGATGGATATGTCAACAAAAATGCAGCCAAAATGTAGCCTGTGCGCTGAAGATGAACAACCGAGAAAATCAATCTGGTTTAAACAGATTGAGGCCAGGATCTGTAATACTGTTCATCTGTTCATATACAACAACACTCATATATATATATATATATATATATACACACAGTATGTATGTGTATATATATATACAGTATATATATATGCAAGCCTTGACATACCCAGGTTTTCTCTGATATTTTTTAAATGTGTTAGTAAAAGTAAGCAAAAAAAACTGACCTAATGTATGCTCACAAACGATAGTGACTAAAGTAATGGTAAATGCTCTCTCTGTTCATCCTGATTTGCCGGATTTGTCATTATATTTGTCGTAATATTGATGGTTATCTTGTATTGTTTAGTATGTTCTCAAGACAAATAACCGTCTGAGCATAAATAACTATAAACACATAGCCAGTAATTGCAAGTAATTGCATTGAGAATGGAGACATAGGGAGATACTGAGAGAAACGGACTGTTATTGTTACCAGGATAGCTAGATTGTAGGCTTCACCCGCTAAGCTAAAGCTTCACTCTTTGGCATCCTGACAGCCATTAGCTAAAGCCTGTTGGTGGCTGGCATCCGCTCCGGCTCATTTACATATAACAAAGCAAGAGAGAACCATTAACCTGAAAACACTACATCAGCTCTCCGTGCGCTAATAATGTCTGCGCATTAAAACTGCATTGTGAGTGCATTAAAATCACATTAAGGAATGAGATCTGATTGTTTCCAACCTGCTATGAGGTGCAGAAAATCTTTACCATTAGGCCTCATGTTTCCTCCTACAGAATATTATAATGGTTGTCGAATGGTGAATTAATGAAGAAAAGTGCCTTCTTTCTGCATGCTTAAGCAGTACGATATGCTAATTATTGTATTGCAGGACAGGAAAATGTCAGTTTTCACTGTTGAATATTGTAGAATTTATTTCACGCAGTTTACTGTTGAGTGTAGATACATAAATACATTATTTAGTAATATGAACATAAACTAAAAAGTATAGGCTGTATATGCTGATGCAAATATGCCACTGTCTTACACCATCTTTCCTCTTTTCTTCACAGAAGGAGCGAGAAAAGAAAAAAGAGGAGAAGAAGAAAGAGAAGGATATTGATAGAGTGGAGAGACACAATAACACAAAGGTACTTTCGCAAGTAACCTGGAAATCAGTGATTTGTTTATATTAACCTGGCATAGGTTAAAGATGATTCACCTGTCACCTGTTGTTACTGTGGTATCTACAGGTCCCAAAAGGCTGCTGACACTTGAGCTGCTACTTTGACAGAAATGCAATAGAAGAGCACTTGGTGGATCTGTTTGCTTGCAGCCAAACACACTCCTTTTGTTAAATTAGAGAAGAAGTGGATTTGATTGAAGATGTGATTTCGTGCTGCCATTGGCGCGAGTAGTTTTCCACACAACAGCAGTTGAGCGTAAAACTTCTTACCTTGCTGAGGAGCTGCCTGTATACAGCCTGTCATCTGCAGCTTTAACTCTAGCTACATATTTTGCTACACAGTTCCACAGCATGCTGCCTTACAACAGTTACATCATATTTTGTGTTTTGATCTGCTGGACACATCAAAACAACCAATATTCAGTTAATAGAGGCTTCAGCACTGTGCCGGAATCCTATGGTAAGTCTGATGTGTGCCACAGGCATCAAATGATGTGTGTCAGTTGACGTGATATCATGTCATTTACCGTCATTTAATTTGGAACAGTCCTTTTGAACTATGGGTAGTAAGTACCCAATGCACTAGTACCAATACTCACAAAATGGATTATGGTAAATGGACTATGGCTGCAGCTAATGATGAATTTAGGATTTGAAGCTTCTATAGATTATTTCAACGATTCATCGATGCGTCGTTTAAGAAGTACCTTTGATTGGTTTGTTATTATAAAGATGGCGATAATAAAGACAAAGAATATGGGTGAAAGGATGGATTAGCACTTGCAGGCAGCAGGGACTGTCTGAGCTACAGAGAGCTGCAGGGGAGTTAAAAGGTGCAGCTCCCCGACACCCAGTTAACTCCTGACTGTGAGGTTACAACTCACGGCCCAAAAAGGAGAACAACAAACGCACGTGTGCACATTTTCAGCTGAGGACTGCAGCTTACTTTGGCTTCAACTCAACAATCAGTCATGATTTCAGTTAAATGCTAAAGTTGCTGTTACTGTTACCTTGTCTGTGGTCCGCTGGCAGAACACCGGGTACTTTCTGATAAGGTGCCGTTGTGCTGTTGCCGAGGCGACGTAAGTTTGGTTTTACGGTGGACAGACGGTAACATTACAGAGTTGTTGTTTTCTTTAGCATGAAATAATCCCATACTTTGGACACTTTCTTTTTTGTCCCTTGCTGTTTCTCTCTCTTCCCCCACTTTGCAAACAGCTCCATCATAATCGCGTCGTGTTCACAGCGTAAACAGGATGTGCGACAGTAATAAATGTCCCTGCGAAACGCTGTGCTGTATAGTTACATGGATTAAACGAAGCATTGATGCAAAGAATTTGTGTCGTAGCATTTTATGAATCGATTTTATTGATTTAATCGATGAATCGTTTCAGACCTAAAATGGACTGCGCTATACAACTTACAAGCCATATCGTCACTAAGCCATATCCCCCTTAGTTACTGTTGCTAGGTCGGACCTGTCGGATTTATCAAGGCACTGCTACTGTCTATAACTGCACTCCCTGGAGAAATATTGTCTATTTTTTGGATAAATGAAAAAAGCAATCTCAGAAAGGAGACAGAAAGGTTTGCATTATACATTTGAATGTTGTATTCAGGCTGTCAAACTGAAGTGAAACAAATAAAGAACGAAGCTAAAGCCTACCGATCACAGAGCAAAAGGGAACCACCACATCTACTGATGAGTTAGCTAGTGTTAGCTAACTAACATTACATTAGAAACAATAGACAGCTTACATTTTTCTGGATTTGTTTTAGGTTTTGGAAAGGGAATAAATCTTACTTCTTTCAACCTCTCTGGGTAGCCATTGTAATGAAATGCCACAGCAAGAAAACAACACCTTTTGCGTACGAGTCAGTGGAGTGCAGCCATAAAAGTGTCAGACCTCAGTTAGAGCAGCCTATACTGCGCTGTGATTGGCCAGCTGCGTATTGGGGCGTGGCTTAGAGAAGGGTCAAGTGGCCTCTCATTCACCTATTCACACATATGTACACTAATGGCAACAGAACTGCCATGCAAGTCGCTGGCCTGCCAATCAGGAGGAGCTTGGGTTTGACATCTGGACAGGAGAAGCACGGCTCAAACCCCCAACCCTGTGATTACACGACCCGCTCTAGACCTCCTGAGCCACAGCGCCAGTAGTGACATACTGTAGTCTAGGTCTAGTAGTCTAGAATCTAGAATGAAGGTATATCTTTGTAATGATTTCACAAAGGTAGTTTGTTACATTTTTACATTTACTCAGTTGGCAGATGCTTTTATCCATCTTCACCTATTGATCACAAACCAATATGCACTTCTAAGTCAAATGTATGGAGGTTCTTGGCATTCAGTAGTGGTTGAGGTTTTTGCTTCAAGAGCAGAAGGAAAGGAGAACAGGGATGAGAATGCAGTTCACTGACATCGATCACGCTTTGTGTACATTGGTGTTTAAGGATTGTGAACACGCAAGAAGTGCTGCTTTGTGTGTGTCAGTGTGGTGATTTGAATGCATGATGTGTGACAACAGAGAGGGCCTGTGTAATCGCTCCACCTCTGTGGTGCGGGAACTGAATCCTCAAGGGAAACTCCTCATAAACATTCATGTTGTTCACAGATGCCTTAGTTTTGCTCCATGTATCAGTATGGATCACTTCTCATCCATGCACAGTGTCGTAAACAAGTGAGCCATATGTGAAAGTGTGTGTTTTGGATACTGTAACTTGAACCTCAGCTGCATCAAACAATTAATAATTGTTACTCTTGTCTTTCAGAAAATGTCTTATATCACTGAGTGTAATAAGTGAAGCCCTTGCTGCTGGCAGATTTAGCTAAATATAGCTTTTTGGAAATAGTAGATAGAGCTGAACACCCGCTGCACCAGAGAGAGATGCCCTAACATCATCAAAAACAACTTGCATGACGTTGTGATTCAAAGTAAAACCTGGAAATTGATGGAAAGATAAATGAAATACAAAATTACTGCCATTAGCCAGGATAAGCGTTTTGAAGTAAATGACTAATGAGTTTTGACTAGGCTGTAATTCCAGCTCAGTCCGACGTCAGAATGAGCTGCAATTACTGACGTCTGGAACAGAGGTCAATGGATGTGTGTGTTTTTTGTGTGTGTGTGTGTGTGTGAGTGATGTGAATGCATTTTCTATGGAAGACTGAATGTGTGCACTGGTCTTTGCATTTGACTGAGTGTATGCATATATATTTCCAGGGCTGTGGTATGTGCATATCTATACTGTGTGTGCTTGTATTTGTGAAAGTGAGAGGGTGGCGCAGCGCTGAAGGAGTGCATGTGTGTGTTTTTGGGTCATGGTTAGTAAATTCAGTATTTCCATGGCCTACAAAGTAGTGAGGGAATAATGTAGCTCTCAGCGCTGTGGGTATTGCGGTGTGTGTGTGTGTGTGTGTGTGTGTGTGTGTGTGTGTATAGTTCAGATGCTCTACAGGGAAATGGAATGAAGGCTATGGGCAACTGTACCCACTGAGAATGAAATGGAATGGGGTCTGTACTCTGTAGCATTAACATTTCTTACTCTACCTCCATCTGCTCATAACAGCACTCTAACCTTTTATCCATCCATCCATCCATCACCAACCACTTATCCTGCGTACAGGGTAGCCTTTTATTTATCCATTAAAATATATTGTCACATTTTCTTTTCTTTTTTTGCAATATTTCCTGACGTATTTTTTTATAAATTTTGCCTTTCACCTATTTTCTACACACATTTACTGTTTGTAGTCATATTCATGTATTTAGCAACAGCTGGACCTCTCTATTTTACGTACTGTACATACATTTAAGAGAGGTTTGGACATATAGGCTAACAAGGATATGATTATTGTGGTTGGTAATGTGTTAGGGTTGCAGAGGACACATAACAGCTGTACCCTACTCCTTTTGTTGTTGTTTTTTGTTGTTTTTAACAAGCAACCTAATTGAAATACTGGAATTCCTGGTTAAAAACTATTCATTTGATCATCTTAAGTGATTGATATGATACGAGTGAAAGGTAAACTGGAAGAATGCAATTTTAAGAAACTGACATGATGCGATAGAGAAGATGAACTATTCTGTTGGAGTTGGAACTCCACAAACCCTCTGTACACCTGCAGTTGTTCCGCGGTGTTACAGAGTGGATGTTGTACTCTTTTTGTGGAACCAAATAACTCTCATAAGCATGACTTCATCTTGTGTATATTGTCCCCTATAAACTCCCCTGCAGTCACAACATACACAGTAAAGCATCAGACTGTCAAGTCTCATGTCTGCGTTAGACATTACAGCATGTTGTTGTTTTTTGTCACGTCTATGGTATCATTGTCAAAATCATAAATCATAAAAAAAATCATAATGTTGTCGGCCAACAAGTGTGCACCGCTGTTGATTTCAACAGCTGAAGAACACTGTTGTGCTGTAATTAATTTGCTCCAGTGTCAGAAGAAAATCAATGTGAGATATTGCATTTTGTTTAAATGGCATCAAAAGCAATCAGTGTGTGATTATTCCCAATCGATAAACCAGGCAGTTAACTCGAGAGTCTTTGTGTATTGTTACACCGTCTTACCGTAAGAATCCACAAACCTGCTGTTACTAGCTGCGATGTCTTGTGTGTTCCTGCACTGCGGAAAATTAATCACTCAACATGGGATGTAGTTGGATTGGAATGTTATTACAAAGGATGTGAATAAAATAAAAAAATTAACATAAATGATTTGAAGTGCTCAATTCAGTTACTAATTAATATAAATTGACTCTTATCTCCAGTAAATGTTTAAAAGTAGGAAGAAGGAGAGTACCCTGGTAGGTAGGTAGGTAGTAATGACAAGCAACTAATTAACACTACTTAATTACTAATTTAGCTAATATTAACTTTGATAGCAGTCAAAAAATGTGCTGTACAGGGGAGATGTTAGCTAGTGCTAAACGCCTTCACTTTTCCAGCAGA